TAATATGTGTAGACTTATTTCGACAACAATAAACTTAAAACATAGTCAAAATAGTACATTTTCGCAGACCTAGGGGCGGAGCCTAATTGTAAAAGCGATGTTTCCTTATACCAATTTTCCATTTTAAACATGTTTTCAGTTTCATGTTGTGGAAAGAAGTCTACACATATTAAAACAAAAATACAAAATGTAAAAGTTAAACATGTTTTCATTTTCTTGTTGGGAAAAGAAGACTTCGTATATTAAGAAGAAATGGACAAAATATAAGCCCCGCCCACCCACCCTTTCTCAATTGTAATGAATGTTTTATTCAAGGTGAGCTCAAGGGCGGAGTTTACTTGCAAAATCCACATTTTTCTACAAGAAATTACCATATGATATATGTTGTTAAAAAAATATTGCTGGTACAATTAAACTCCGCCCTTCGGTCTGATTAGCAATAAAAAACTCATCACAATTGAGGTCGGGGCGGGTGGGTGGGGCTTAATTTTTGTTTTTTTTTTTCATATATATAGAATTTTCTTTCAACAACAGGAAAGTTAAATATGTTTTCAGTTTCTTGTTGGGAAAAGAAGACTTCGTATATTAAGAAAAAATGGACAAAATATAAACCCCGCCCACCCACGCCTTCTCAATTGCAATGAATGTTTTATTCATCGTTGGATAATCCTCTTTTCTCTACAAGAAATTACCATATGAAATGTGTTTTTAAAAGGGTAGAATTTTTTAGAGAAATGTTGATATTACAATAATTAACATCCGCCCTTCGGTCTGATTAGGAACTTATCAGAATTGAGATCGGGGCGGGTGGGTGGGGCTTAATTTTTGTATTTTTTTAATATATAGAATTTTCTTTCAACAACAGGAAAGTTAAACATGCTTTCAGTTTCTTGTTGGGAAAAGAAGACTTTGTATATTAAGAAAAAATGGACAATATATAAGCCCCGCCCGCCCATCCCTTCTCAATTGTGGTGGATGTTTTATTCATTTTTGTACAATCCTCTTTTCTCTACAAGAAATTACCATATGAAATGTGTTTTTAAAAGGGTAGCATTTTTTAGAGAAATGTTGGCGTTACAATAATTAAACTCCGCCCTTCGGTCTGATTAGGAATTTATCACAATTGAGATTGGGGCGAGTGGGCGGGGCATAATTTTTGTGTGTTCTTTTTTAATATATGGAGTTTTCTTTCAACAACAGGAAAGTTAAACATGTTTCCAGTTTCTTGTTGGGAAAAGAAGAGTTCGTATATTAAGAATAAATGGACAAAATACAAGCCCCGCCCACCCACCCCTTCTCAATTGTGATGAATGTTTTATTCATCGTTGTACAATCCTCTTTTCTCTACAAGAAATTACCATATGAAATGTGTTTTTAAAAGGGTAGAATTTCTTAGAGAAATGTTGATGTTACAATAATTAAACTCCGCCCTTCTGTCTGATTAGGAACTTATCACAATTGAGATTGGGGCTAGTGGGCGGGGCATAATTTTTGTGTGTTCTTTTTTAATATATGGAGTTTTCTTTCAACAACAGGAAAGATAAACTTGTTTCCAGTTTCTTGTTGGGAAAAGAAGACTTCGTATATTAAGAAAAAATGGACAAAATATAAGCCCCGCCCACCCACCCCTTCTCAATTGTAATGAATGTTTTATTCGTTGTGAGCTGAAGGGCGTAGTTTAGTTGCAAAGTCCTCATTTTCTACAAAAAAATTACCATATAAAATATGTTTTTAAAAGGGTAGAATTTGTTGGAGAAATTTTGATGTTACAATTTAACTCCGTCCTTCAGTCTAACAACGAATGAAAAATTCATTACAATTGAGATCGGGGAGGGTGGGCGGGGCTTAATTTTTGTTTTGTTTTTAATATACAAAGTTTTCTTTCAATAACAGGATAGGTAGTTAAACATGTTGTCAATTTCTTGTTGGGAAAAGAAGACAAAATATAACCATTTTTTTAGAGGGCTTTGCGTCGATGTATTCAATGTATAGTTTTGGAAATTTCTTTCTACCCTATAAAATTTTATTGCCAATAACGAGACGGACAATAGTACAATAGAAAGAGGTATTTTACAACTTGAAGTTGTCGCGTGCCGGTAATCCCCGGAGGTTAGAAGGCAGAATAATTCAGGTCCGGACAGGGCCCATCGTTACTCACGAACAAAAGTAAGCATTATTTACCTACTAAATGTTCTCCGACAAATTTGGTGTGTGGCATAAATATTTCTTACCATTGTACTACTGTCCACCTCGTTATTGTCAATAAAATTTTATAAGGTAGAATAAAATTTCCAAAACTATACTTATTATTGAATTTATTGAAATTATTGCATTTCAACAAAAAAAGTTGGTTTCCTTAAGTAAAGTAGAATCAGACTAAGAGTAGAAACATGTGAAACATTTTGGACGACTAGAGGGCTGAGACAGGGATGCGTACTAAATCTCAGTTTGTTTGTCTATTATTTAAATGATAATGAAAAACTTGTAAGACGTCGACAGTATTATACTTAGTCAACAGTGTGGTGTCTCGCATTTGTCCATGATTTCGGTGATTTTGCGAAAGGAAATGACAAAAAAATACAAAAATATTATAAAAAAAAAGAAATGCTGAAAATGTTTTCGAATCTTATTTAAAACGGAGATAAATGTTTTCAATTTTTTATGTTTTATAAAAAAAATAAGCTTTGACCTAATTGTTTGTGTCAATTTTGATTAGCCTGGTAATGTCCAAAACTACTGGACCGATTGTTGCCAAATTTTGGATGCACTTTAGGAATATTGTGTAGATGGTAAAAAGCTAATCAAAATTTGTCAGATCATCCCCACCAGCAATGAGATGACATCACCTCCAAAATTTACAATAATAAATGTTGTTTAAGTTTTATGAAGTCATATACTCCTGTACTTGTGGTTTATGATTCTGTGTTGAACCGAATGCTTTGAAATTTTGCAAAAGTTTTATGGTCATCGTAAGCAATGTAAATCGTTAATCAAAATTTATCTGGTTATCCTCTCTCAAAAATTTGTAAAATAAATTCTATCTAAAATATTTTAACTAATAGGGGTTTTCATGAAAAAATTCCAAAATTAAATTTTATAATTTTTCGAAGAAGTAGTATTTGTTTGAGTGTACTTCAGAGGTGTGGGAAGTTCTGTCTAAATAACTTTAGATCTTTTTTTGTGTGTGTAATATTTTTTAGGAACCAAATTTAGCAGTTCTGAATTTATTTCCGGTGAAAGTGAAGCTACTATTTGAAGAAGAACATCAAATTTGCGAAACAGATTGACGAAAATAATCAAGTATATTTTTTGGTGAAAATAAAAAAATTTCTCCGAGTGTAAGCTAAGGAACTCTTGTAATGTTCTATTCGGCGAATGGCTATTTTCATGTTTTCTGACGTTTCATGACCCCTGATGTACGAAAAAATAGGTCTTCCATTTCCGTCTGTCTTCGTCTGTGCCGATATTTATTAGACAGGTAATCTCCGAATCGACTGTGTTCAAATTTTATGTGTATGTTAAGAACATCGTATAGATAGTAAAACGCTAACCAAAATTTGTGTAATCATCCCCATCAACAATTTGATGACATCACCTGAAACTTTTACATGGTAAATGCTATTCAGATTTTGTGAAATAACATACTCATGTACTTGTGGTTTATGAATTCGCCTTGATTGTCTACCACAGACATCCAGATTTTTGGCAAAAAACCCAAATTGTTTAATAACACTTTATCCAGTATAAACCAGTAGCGCACAACAACGCCGTATAGCTCTGAGGTCGTGTTAACGTGAAGGTCGCGGGTTCGGATCTGGGCAACTTTTTCTTACACTTTTAACCTATAGAGGTTATCGTTATCATAAAATAAACAAAATTTCTCAAACACAAATTTTATCACTTTTCGAAGAAGCTACCAGAATAACTTAATTTTTTTAATTGGTTATTCTATTGTCATCATTAATTGACAGTTTTAAATTGAAATGTTTGATAACCTATTTTCATCTGTTTTTATTTTGGATCAGACGCGAATGTGAACCATAACAGACAACAAGGAATTTATAAATAAGTATTGAAATACACTTTCGGTTCCAAAATAAATTATTTGACTGCTACACGTGCTTCGGTATGTAAAATTAGATAAGGACTGTTTTCCTATTCTTGACTCGTTAACAATGGTTTTAGATATAAAAAAATATTTTTAAATGGTTTGGTTCTTCCATTTTCCTATTTTTGCATTGCTGATTTGTGGATTTATAATTTTACTTCCCGATCGTAAACTAAGAAAGTATTGTAATAGATCCATCTGATCAATGGCTACTTTCATGTTTTGTCGACGTTTCGTGATCACTAGAATATGAAAAAATGGGTCTTCCGTTTCCATCTGCCTATCTGTCGTCTGTTGTTGAGTCAATTTTTATTACAAAGGCTACCAGATGGAACTACTTTCAGAATATTGTTTATACTTGTTTTACTGTGTTTAATTAAAATTAGACAGAATTGAGTTAGTTTAATTGCTTAATTTTACTCTTTTCGGCTGCCTTTATTTATCCAGTACAATGTCAACTCCAAAAGCCATCTTCGAGCAATCCCAGTTGCGTAATTCCACCCGCCTTTTTGTTTCAAAACGTGAGCTAGGTCAGAAGCCACACCTTCGGTATTTTTAGCGCACATTTTTATTTCGGTCCAATATAAAACCTCATAAATAATTTTAAATATACCCTCGCATCTATTAAAAGTGCCGTCCCTGACAATATCATGCAACACCTTTCCCACTAGAATTTTTCGCCAAAACACTGCCAGCGTCAACAATCCCCCATTTAAAAACCACCGTTTTATTAACCCTCTGCACATCTACGCATTCCGTTTCCACTAAAAGTCGCACAGCGCAAAATAAATAAAACTTTACTACGAAAGCTCTTTGCGAAATTGCTTTCCCGTCATAACCATGTTTCGAACCCGCAACCAGCCAGCCCCCGCCCACAGACACCCATAAATACCTTAAAATCGTCTCCGGTCATTAAACAGCGGTGCGGAACCATCAAGCATCCCCGAAAGCATCCCACGAGATGGTAGCGATTGGAGCTTTCCTGGGCGCTTTTCCCCGTTGAGTGCACACCTAGAGAGGCTCGAAAAGGCGATTTTCCGCGCAAAAATCCGGATGCTGTGCGCCGCCACTGAACATGACAGCTTCGCGACAAAAGCTCGTTCGAAAGCTCCCCGAGAACTGATGTTCCAGGCTTAGCTGAGTGAGTCGATCGAGTCGGCCGTGAATATGGCGACGCAGGCGTCGGCGGCGGATTTGCCAGCGTTACGTCACCGACGGCTGAAACGTCACGACCACCCTCCCGGAAAGGGACCGGAGCGCTCCGGACTATGTTGTGGAGCCGCGCGTTCGGGAATCAATGGCCCTTTTCGGGGATGCTCATAAACGGGAAGTTGGCGAGGTTGTGCCGCAGAACATATCTTTAAAAAGAGTTTTATGGCTGTCTTTTTCCAGCAATAAATATTACACCGATAAGGCCCCCAGCATTTAAAACTGCGCACATTTAGTGATAAGTGTGCTTTGTGCCGTTTCGAAAAACACCGGATTCATGTGAGCGCGGACGAAAAGAAGTGGAGATAAAATTTGTGGAAGCGCTAGACCGAATTTCCATTGCGATAAGTTGAAACTATCTTCGTCAGAGGCATTAAAAAGTAATTACTTGTTTGTGCTTGGAAATTGATGTCCGAGCTTTCATTAAACAGTAATTGCGCCTCCGCCACCGTTAAAATCGCAATTTTCACTAAATCACGTCTGCGTCGCGCGCCTTTACGACCCTGAAAAATTCCACTGTCCGAGATTGTTCCTGCAAGCATCCCTCATCTCGTGCTTCCGCAGGAGCTTTTATCACTCGTGCACACAAAACTTCTCGGCTTCCTGTTTACGAGCATGTATGCTGAAAAGGTTCTGATTCGCCAATAGGAGTAGTGTATCTGAAATCGATGCAAAAGTTGGCGGTTTGGGATTCTGTAAATTTGAGGTATTTCAGGAATAGTGCTGATGCGACCATGATGCACAAATACGAAATAAAATTTTATTTCAAATTAAACTGTGTCTATCGGGGAAAACTATTCAGAGCGATACGGTGATTTTTAAAAAAATTTAGAAAATTTTCATATATTGTTTTGACGATTTTGGAAAAATGGTAAGAATTTTCCAAAAAATGTAAAGTTAAAAATAAAAATCATTTTATCAACACATCGAAGTGTAGCGAGTGGCCACAACTTGCTGTGCTAATGACATTGACAGAATAAACGAAATAAATTTCAATATTAATCATTTTACAACTCTTTTGTATACATTTGTTGAGTAGTCACTGTGAGGCCAGGCTTCAGTTGTCTCATCTGACGAGACAAATTTCGATTGTCGGTATGTAATCTTAAGCTACACTTAAAATGTTAATTTTTTAAATATTTGGAAACTGTGTGTAATAAGTAAAATCGCTAACAGACCAAGGAATAAAATGACCAGATTTTAAACTGCAGGTAATTTTTAAGAATACGTTTCTACTATTTGTCAATGATGAATAAAATTCACACTACATTATAGTTGGAAGCTGAATTACGTCTGATTTATGACAATTTTTAACCACAGTTGTCATTAAAGTCTAGCTGTATAAACCATAGATTGTAATTATTTATTTTGTAGTTAATTATCTTTTTCTGTTCTTTTTTAAGATGAAACCTTCTTGGAGCTTCAACTGTCTTTTTTAAGAATAAGAAATCTTTTTGGGGGTCCCTAACTGTCTTTTTTTACATGAAACTTTTTCTGGGGCTCCAACAGTCCAGTCTTTTTCTGGAAGATGAAGAGTTCTCGCGAGCGCCAACTGTTTTTTTTTTCAAGGGACATGAAACCTCGGTGGCCTTTAACTGTTTTTCTTTAAGATTATGAGATTTTCTCGGGGGGGGGCGAACTGTCTTTTTTTTCAAAGGACTTGAAACCTCGGTGGCCACAATTGAATTTTTTGAGAAGACGAAACCTTCTCTGAAAACTGTCTTTTTGTTTCAAAGGACATTAACCTTCTCGGCGGCCCCCAATTGTCTCGGACGCTCCAACTGTCCTTTTTTGGAACATGAAATCCTCTCGGGGGCCCCAACTGTTTTTTCTGAAAGATGAAACCTTCTCGGGGGCCTGAAGTGTCATTTTTTTCAGAGAACATGAAACCTTCTCGGTGTCTCACAACTGTTTTTTTTTAAGAATATAAAACCTTCCCGGGGGGCCTTAACTGTCTTTTTTTTTTAGGACATGAAATTTCCTCGGTGACAACCAACTGTCTTTTTTTGTTAGATGAAACCTTCTGGGGGGACTGAGCTGTCATTTTTTCCAGGGGACTTGAAACCTTCTCGGTGTTCTGCAACTGTTTTTTTTAAGAATATAAAACCTCCTCTCGGATCCGAACTGTCTTTTTTTTCAAAGAACATGAAACTTCCTTGGTGGCTTCCAACTGTCTTTTTAAGAATATCAAACTTTCTTGGGGTCCCCCAACGGTCTTTTTTTTTTAGATGAAACCTTCTCTTTGGTACAACTATCTTTTTCTGGAAGATGAAACCTTCTCGGGGGATTCAACTGTTTTTTTAGAAGATGAAACCTTCTCGGGGGCCTGAACTGACATTTTTTTCAGAGGACATGAAACCTTCTCGGTGGCTTCCAACTGTCTTTTTTAAAAGTATTAAACTTTCTTGGGGTCCAACTGTCTTTTTTTAGGTAAAACCTTCTCGGGGGCTCCAACTGTCTTTTTTTGAAAGAGAAGCCTCGGAGGTCCGAAATGGCTTTTTTTTCAAAGGACATGAAACCTTCTCGGTGGCTGCTACTGTCTTTTTCTGAGAGATAAAACTTTCTCTGTTGCTCCAACTATCTTTTTCTGGAAGATGTAACCTTCTCGGGGGCCTAAACTGTAATTTTCTTTCAGAGGGCAATAAAACCCTGTCGGTGTTGCACAACTGTTTTATTTTAAGAATATAAAACCTTCTCGGGGGCCTGAACTGTCTTTCTTTTCAAAGGACATGAAACTTCCTTGGTAGATTCCAACTGTCTTTCTTTTAGATGAAACCTTCTCTGGAGCTCCAACTGTCTTTTTCTGGAAGATGAAACCTTCTCGGGGCCCTGAACTGTAATTTTTTTCAGAGGACAATAAAACCTTCTCAGTGTTCTACAACTGTCTTATTTTAAGAATATAAAACCTTGTCGGGGACCTGAAATGTGTTTTTTTTTTCAAAGGACATGAAACTTCCTCAGTGGCTTCCAAGTGTCTTTTTTAAAAATATTAAACTTTCTTGGGGTCCCCCAACTGTCTTTTTGTTTAGGTAAAACCTTCTGTGGGGCTCCAACTATCTTTTTCTGGAAGATGAAACCTTCTCGGGGGCTCCAACTGTCTTTTTTTGAAAGAGAAACCTCGGGAGTCCGAACTGCCTTTTTTTTTCAAAGGACATGAAACCTTCTCGGTGGCTGCTACTGTCTTTTTCTGAAAGATAAAACCTTCTCTGTAGCTCCAACTGTCTTTTTCTGCAAAATGTAACCTTCTCGGGGGCCTAAACTGTAATTTTTTCAGAGGACAATAAAACCTTCTCGGTGTTCCACAACTGTCTTATTTTAAGAATATTAAACCTTCTCGGAGGCTTGAACTGTCTTTCTTTTCAAAGGACATGGAACTTCCTAGGTAGATTCCAACTGTCTTTCCTTTAGATGAAACCTTCTCTGGAGCTCCAACTGTCTTTTTCTGGAATATGAAACCTTCTCGGGGACCCCTACTGTCTTTTTTTGGAAGAATAACCTCGGGAGCCCAAACTGCCTTTTCTTTCAAAGGACATGAAACCATCTCGGTGGCTCCAACTGTCTTTTTTTGGAAGATAAAACCTTCTCGGAGGCCTGAACTGTCTTTTTTTTTCAAATGACATGAAACTTTCTCGGTGGCTTCCAACCGTCTTTTTTAAAAATATTAAACTTTCTTGGGGTCCCCCAACTGTCTTTTTTTTAGGTAAAACCTTCTGTGGGGCTCCAACTATATTTTTCTGGAAGATGAAACCTTCTCGAGGGCTCCAACTGTCGTTTTTTGAAAGAGAAACCTCGGGGGTCCGAACTGGCTTTTTTTTTTCAAAGGACATGAAACCTCCTCGGTGGCTGCTACTGTCTTTTTCTGAGAGATAAAACCTTCTCTGCTGCTCCAACTATCTTTTTCTGGAAGATGTAACCTTCTCGGGGGCCTAAACTGTAATTTTTTTCAGAGGACAATAAAACCTTGTCGGTGTTGCGCAACTGTCTTATTTCAAGAATATAAAACTTTCTCGGGGGCCTGAACTGTCTTTCTTTTCAAAGGACATGTAACTTCCTTGGTAGATTCCAACTGTCTTTCTTTTACATGAAACCTTCTCTGGCGCTCCAACTGTCTTTTTCTGAAAGATAAAACCTTCTCTCTAGCTCCAACTGTCTTTTTCTGGAAGATGTAACCTTCTCGGGGGCCTAAACTGTAATTTTTTCGGAGGACAATAAAACCTTCTCGGTGTTCCACAACTGTCTTATTTTAAGAATATAAAACCTTCTCGGAGGCTTGAACTGTCTTTCTTTTCAAAGGACATGAAACTTCCTAGGTAGATTCCAACTGTCTTTCTTTTAGATGCAGCCTTCTCTGGAGCTTCAACTGTCTTTTTCTGGAATATGAAACCTTCTTGGGGGTTTCAACTATCTTTTTCTTGAAGATGAGACCTCCTCGGTGGCCTCCAACTATCTTTTTAAGAATATGAAACCTTCTCGAGGGCTCCTAACTGCCTTTTTTTTAGATGAAACCTTTTTGGAGGCTCCAACTGTCTTTTTTTTGAAGAAAATTCGGTAATAACAAAATCAGACACATATCCAAAGAAAAATTTTATTGTTCGTTACATTTTTCCAAAATTTGATTAATTCTTTGTTACTTTAATAATAAAAGTACGAATCTGCATGGGGTCCAACGCAATCACCGGATCTTCAAGCGAAGTGATAGATTTCTTCGTAACACTATTCTTAGCATTTTCTATATTCCACGCGAATTTTTCTTTAGCCTGGAACTCGTCAAGCCATTGGTTGGCACCAAGCGTCGTCTCTCTAATTTCCGTTACTTCGAAAAGTGTGAACAAACCCTTAAAAAATATTTTGTAGAAACTACAAGAAATAAATACCTTAGTTCCTACCTGCAAATCCACTGAAACGCTCTGTGACAAAGCCGCATCTTCATTATTCTCCAGAATGTGTTCAAGTCTCAGAATGTAAGTGTCATCCTTCCAAGGTTCTAGAGTCAAAATGTGGACATTCTCAGGCAATGTTGCTTTTAAGCCTTCAAACTAGAAATAAATCTTTTAATACGAAAACACCCCCTTGATAACACTTAGTACGTTAAAATTGAGGGCACCCTGAACATTCTCCAACGACAAATCATCCGAAGACGCATCACCAACCAACACCAAAGGCGTCAAAAGTTTCTTCAGAGCTATTTCTCGTTCTTGTGCAGCTGTGGATTTACCATCGGCCTCAGAAGCACTGGAACCAATAACCAAAAAGTGTTGACCTCTTGCTACTACTCCTTGTCCGAACTCTTCATCGTCAAGACCCTCAGCCACACCCTTAGCATCGTCTCTAAGAAGCCTCCTGTGCACCTACAATTTCCATTTTGTCAACAAATGTCAATCAATCAAAAACACCCACCATCAATTCAATCACACCGTTTTGCAAACTAGAACCACCTTGAGCCCGATCATTCAAAACTGCAACCTCCAGACCTTTGTTTTCGTCTTTGATAACGATTTTGGAAGTGATGGGGTAATAGTTACTGGCGATGGGTTCAAGGGTCGGGTCGTATTCATAGTCGTAGCGTTGGTTGACTTGTCTTTTGATCATTTCACGACCGTTTGAATCGGTGTAGAAGGATTCTCCGTTGTCAAAATCGTTGATTGTGAATCTGCTGACTATCTCACGTCCGATTCCATTGTCGTTGTCCCTAAATTAAAGATTAGTGTTTGGTGGGTGAGTAAAGTGGTGCTTACACTTCAATGGGTCCTACGAGCCAGTCGAATTCTATGTAGTTGTTTCCTTCGTCTTTGTAGACTCGGATGATTTGGGTGATCCAGTCGTTGAATTGTTGACGGACTTCATCGACAAGGGTACCTGTGGTGGAAGTAACAGAGGCGGAGTCGGCTACAATGTTAGCTTCGTTGACTAGCGGGCGGAAAATGTAAGCACCAGAAGCCGCATTGTCTTCACCATTATTGTCACCATTGAATCCGTAGTAGAAGATAAATTCTTGCTTGATTTCTAGAGTTTGGCCGTTCATGGTGACGGATTTCAAGAGACCAGTTGCGTCATCTATCTCAAAACCGGTAGTCTATAAAAGAAATGTAAAAGTTCGTGGATACAGACACGGTTGTTCTTACATCAGTGCCAAACTTCACACTTGGTGTTTTCTTCACAGCAACAGATTTTGCTTTGGATGCAGTTTTTTCAACATAATATAATTTTAGTCCAAAACCGGATACATCAGCAGCAAAAACTAGTTCTTTAGGTTTGGGTGTTCCGAAATCTTGGTCTACGTAGCTGAAGTCAGAAATGCTGTCAAGCAAATCGGATGTAACTTCGCCTAGAAGCAGAAAGTTAACAAGTGTTGTAAGTTTACAAAAAAGTTACCATCAGGTCCTGTGATTGTGTAAGAGCCATCAGACACCGGTAGCCGCACGTATTGAGTCACAGGTCGTTCAAGAGGGTTATAGACACTCACAACGAATCTATCTGCGTTGGTAATGTCGCAAACACTGATGTTAGCCAAGAGGCAAGTTCGAAGATCTAGATTTATGTCAGTCGAAGCGTCTTTCTTCAGGAGGTTGCTGCAGTCAGAGTTTAGACGATTGTTGTTGAGTGTATAAAGACTTACGTGACGACGACATTAAGCGTGGGTTCAGCTCTTTGGATACTTTTCGTCAAGAGTCTTACATAGTCATTAGCCACTGCTTCTTTCGCCGTACCTGTAATAGCATCGTGGTGCTGTAGAATTCCAACCGCTTCTTTAAGAAGTGTTAGATCTGCTTCGTGATCTTCACCATTGACTTTGGAGAAAGCTGTAAGTTGTTTGGCCGCCTAAAATTTGATAAGATTGATTGTATTTTCAACGTAGTAAATTACCTGTAGAATTTTGCTGGTTGTTCTTTCAAAATGTTTAGCATTAGGTCTTGACGTAAAGTAGCCGGTCCAATAGTTGTGTCCACCTGATGCATACGGGAAAAAGTCGTCGGTTTTTAGAGGAAACTCGATGTTGTTACTGGCAGCGGCATCATTGACAGCTTGAATATAACACGAAGGGGTTGAATAAATCAAGTTAATTTGGTCGTTGCCTTGGAAGCCCCTAAAATTCTGTCTTACATCTTGCAATATTTTCATAGCCAAACTTACGCGATTAGCTTATCAATATTGATAAAGTTCTTCTCTGCTGATTGATATTGGAAGTCGCCACCCATTGGAATCAGGAGATTGTTCGTCCGATAATAGCTAGCTAGTGAAGTCACTCTGCCCAAAAAGTCGTCAACTTTTCTCGGAATATTATAATCAGGGCTGGTGTCGTCGTCAACGAGAACTTCATCACCACACTCAATATCAAAACAATAACCTGAAGGCGGATAATAAAATTCGGGGAAAACATTTGTGAAGATGTTCGTGTTTTCTAGATTGGCACTGCCTTGCCAAATCACTTCCATGGTCTTGTCGGCATTTCTTTGATTTCGGTCGTTGTAGTCAATTCTGGCAAAGAAGACACCATCGAAGCCCAGCTGGGCAAAAATGGAGGCTTGTTCGCGACTGTGACCGAACGGGTCGATCTGCCAGCCGATTCTAGGGGCACCACAGGCTCCAACAGTCTCATTGATAGTTCTAGGAAAATGAATTAACTTGAATGTTTTACAAATAAAGGTAGTGGTACCTAAGTCCGTGCGTGAATTGATCAATAGTTGATTGATAATTGACAGCAGCTTCGTCATTCATTGACCACGCCGCATTGATAATTTCCAACTGTCCATTGTTTACTAAATCGATAAAGTCCTGCCTGACACTATCAGGTTGCTTTTGCCACCATTTCCAGAAGAACGCCGTCTCCACTTGTACGAATCTAAACCACAGTATGATTTACTATCACTATGGCGATAACGCGATTGTCAAACACATTGACCTTGATTCCTACTCACCTCCTATCAGGATTGGCTTTCAGCGCCTCGACCGTCGACGAAATAATGTATTGTACTCCAGCCCTTTGTATCTCGCTGTGACCTAAAAAACAAGAGCCGATATCTCAAAGTTTACAAAGCCCTAAAACGCACTTCCGTAAAAGTATTGATCAACAGTTTTCAGCCAGCCAACGTCATCGTGGGAATGAGGGATGAGATGAACATTAATTTTGTCGGGATCTACGGGATGGCAAACCTGAAATAGATTGCGCGAATTTTATAGTTAATAACTGAATGTGGGTATGCAGTAAATTTGGATCGCTTTCCGTTGAAACAGTCGGGAGACGTCGAAAAGGGAAAGACAAATGCAATCAATGTTTAGTTAAGCTATCAACTTACCTGACAGGCCTGAGCGGCTTCTTCGCGCTTGATGGGGGAAGAGTATCCCCAGGCGAAAAGCACTGTTAACACGACTAAATATTTAATCATGTCTCATTAAACAATAGCGATTTTGTGAGCGAAACACTGGACGTCGAAGGCCCTTAAGTTAATTCGTTCGAGTGTGGGCGATAACGGAGATTTCTTTCAGATAATAATTGGAAGTACGCTGGAGATAAGTGTTTACAGACACGATATACTCGAGATCCAAAACAAAAGAAAATTATTTTGTGAGAAGTGGGCATGTTGCTACCTTAAATAAATAGGAAGGTTATGGAAATTCTTTTTTCTGGTTTTATGACGTCATTAACGAGGTCGGTTTCAATTGGTTGGCAACTGGTTGTCGATAAATATTACTATGCACTTTATATTTCTAACGTTAACTAGTTTTTAAAGTCATCAGGTGACGAAGTAAATTTTGATCATTTTAAATTAGACAGTTCCTTGAACAAAAAGGCGAACCTGAATAAAGAGATTTAGTTCAATGCCGAAAAGTAATTATTTAGCTTCTTTTATCAAATTTATAGCTTCTAAAAATACGCTTCGTAATTTTATATGTAGGAGTGAAAGCAGCGGTAACTCGAGAAGCATCTGCTTGCAGAATTACGCCTTTAGAAGTTATTTAACAAGAAGCTTTTTGTACAGTTGATCAATAAATTGTTCGCGATTGAAACCTGACTTCTTTACATAATTTTCAGCTGAATGCCATTCAGTTTCGACAAAAAGTTACTGCGTTGTTTTGCCAGTCGAAATTATCGGAATGCAGTGATTTGTTAGTCGGTGATAAATGTCACCCTGTAATTACACTGCGCAGTATACTGTCTAATACAGTATAAGGATAAACCCACTTGTGAAATTGGAAACATTCAAAGCTATGGATTGATTCTGGAAATTGAAATCCAGCACGACAAAGATAAATTTAGTCTTTCCGCCCCTGGCATATGGTACACAGGGTTCAATATTTCATAAACATTTAAAGCGCTCGAAGCAGAACTTGATGGATGTTAAGTCGATAAAAATTTACATTTTCCATCAGTTAAGAGAAATATGAATCTCGACACGACACTGATTTTGTTACTACGACAACAGAGCTGGTATTTTGGTTGAGGATAGATCGAAATCTCAAGTTTATAAACACAACGTTGATAAACACGAACAGTTCTAAATTAGTTTTGTTTATTGTTTACGAAGTAGAAACACCTGAATGAACACTTCAAAGCCGCTGATATCTGTTGCTAGGACAGGATATAGTTTTTATGTTCAACTAGTCGAAGGACAGTCTACACTTAAAAATTTTTAGTCGATGATCAAGTTTGTTCTTAATTAGATACTGTCACCCCCGTACGTAAACATCAGAATTCCCAAGTTTGAGGTAATCCACCCACTCACGACTGTGGCTTAACGTGATTGATGAATCACGTTCAGTTTGAATTAAATTACTTAAATTTATATCAAAATATCAATTAACACTGAGCTCGCTAATGACGACACACAATTTTTACTTCCCGAGCGTAAGCAAAGGAAGTATTGTAATCGAGTCCGTCGGCCGACTCTCTACTTTTACGTTTTCTCGATCTTTCATGACCCCTAGAAGACGAAGAAATAGGTCTCCCATTTCCGTCTGTCTGTCCGTCTGTCCGTCTGTCCGTCCGTCCGTCTGTCCGTCTGTCCGTCTGTCCGTCTGTCCGTCTGTCCGTCTGTCCGTCTGTCCGTCTGTTGTCACGGATTTTTATTAGACAGATAATCTCCGAAAGTACTCGACCGATTGTTGTGAAATTTTGTACTTATATTAAGAATATCATGTAGATGGTAAAACGCTAACCAAAATTTGTCGAATCATCCCCACCACTAAAGCGATGACGTCACTTCAAAATTGTACATAGTAAATGGGTTTTCAATTGTATAAAATAACATAGTCCTACACATGTAGTTTACAACTCTGAATCGACTTTTCACCCGAAACGTCCAGATTTTTGGAAAAAAAATCAAAATTATAAAACAACATTTTGAAATTTAATTTTTAATCTGCTAACCAGAATGCTTTGAAATGTTGCAGATGTTTTAAGGCTATAAAGAGCATCATAAATCTTTAGTCAAAAAATATTTGCTTATCCCCTCCAAAAACTTGATGACGTCAGCTCAAAAGTTTGTGGAATAAATCATATCTAAAATGTACAAAATATGATGAGTCTGTACTTGTGAACTATCACTCCATTAATATTTTTTGGATTTGCATATACAGGGTGACTCAAAAAAATTAATGAATGCGTAAATATATTTTATTGATTTAATCAGGAACTACAAAACCGAATGCTCTGAAATCTTGCAGATGTTTTAAGGTCATAAAGAGCATAATAAATGTTTAGTCAAAATATATTTGCTTATCCCCTCCAAAAACTTGATGTCGTCAGCTCGAAAGTTTGCCGAATAAATCATATCTAAAATGTACAAAATATGATGAGCCTGTACTTGTCATTTATCACTCCATTCATATTTTTTGGATTTGCATATACAGAGTGACTCAAAAAAATTAATGAATGCGTAAATTTATTTTATTGATTTAATCAGGAACTACAAAACCGAATGCTTTGAAATCTTGCAGATGTTTTAAGGTTATAAAGAGCATAATAAATTTTTAGTCAAAATATATTTGGTTATCTTCTACAAAAAACTGATGACGTCAGCTCAAAAGTTTTCCGAATAAATCGCATCTAAAATGTACAAAATATGATGAGTCTGTACTTGTGATTTATCATTCCATTCATATTTTTGGATTTGCATATGCAGGGTGACTGAAAAAAATTAATGAAGGCGTGAATTTATTTTATCGATTTAATCAGGAATTACAAAACCGAATGCTTTGAAATCTTGGGAATATTTTAAAGTTATTATAAGCATGGTAAACTTTTGTTCAAAATGTATTTGTTCATCCCTCCTAAAAAAATTGATGACGTCACCCTTAAATTTTGCTGAATAAATCCTATCTAAAATGCAAAAAATATGATGAGTTTGTACTTGTGATTTATCATTCCATTCATATTTTTTAGATTTTCTTAAGAGGTGGTTCAAAAAAATTAATGAAGTCAATTTATTTTATTGATTAAATTAAAGGCAACACTTATTATTAGTATTACACCCCAACCAACCCAATTTGGTAGACACAAAATTTGTTAAAGGAAAAACTCGGTTGAAACATAAGGGTAGCACGCTTATTTACATCGACTTTAACATTACAGACCTGCATTTGTTTTATGCGCTCACTTGGTTCCGCGAATGCGAAATAGACATGTTTATAATCAACCAATTGTGAATTTCACTGTCAAGAATTAAAATAAAACCCAATGTTTTATATAATAAGCGGAAGTCAAAGCAATAAAACCGACGGTCGTTTTGTTTACAGTTTCTGTGTTTGGCTCTCACGTATGCTGTTACGCCTGTCATCTTAAATTAAGAATGTTTATACATACACGATTTTCAGTTGCCTCTGATACGTATACGTGAGTAGATTGTTTCGTTATTTTATTGATTATTACAAATCAATATTCAAAACGACCCAATTCATTTTCCCGAAAATTTGAGAATATAATAATTTTATTCTTAGTATTACACTACATCTATCCCAACTGATATACGTGTCCTTGCAAAAATGTTGATGACGTCATCGCAATTTTTTTTTAAATTCCCACTACAAAAATGTAATGAGAAAAAAAACACAATAGGCATGCAGTCGTCAAGTTTCCGACAGCGAGGGAAGTACTGTCTAAACTCTTTAGACCAATTTTTTTTAATAATAATTCTTTTATTTTGATTCTCGAGTTTATCGTGCCAGTAAACACTTCTCACGTACTTCTAATTATCTAAGCGAAATCTCCGTTATCGCCCACGCTCTCCAACCATATTTAACTTAAAGGGTCACGACATCCATCATTTTCATTCACAAAATTTCCACTTTTTAATGAGACATGATCAAATACTTAGTCGTTTTAACAGTGCTTTTCGCCTGGGGACACTCTTCCCCCATCAAGCGCGAAGAAGCCGCTCCGGCCTGTCAGGTAACTTGATAGCTTAACTAAACATTGATTGTAGTTGTCTTTCCCTTTTCACCGTCTCCCGACTGTTGCAATATACAGTTATTAACTATAAAATTCGCGCAATCTATTCCAGGTTTGCCATCCCGTAGATCCCGACAAAATTAACGTTCATCTCATCCCTCATTCCCACGATGACGTCGGCTGGCTGAAAACTGTTGATCAATACTTTTACGGAAGTGCGTTTTACGGCATTGTAAACTTTGAGATATCAGCTCTTGCTTTTCAGGCCACAGCGAGATACAGCGGGCCGGGGTACAATACATTATTTCGTCGACGGTCGAGGCGCTGAAAGCCAATCCCGATAGGAGGTGAGTCGACAAATACAGTGTTATCGTCATCGTTTTATTTAGATTTGTGCAAGTGGAAACCGCGTTCTTTTGGAAATGGTGGCAAAAGCAACCTGATAGTGTCAAGCAAGACTTTATCGATCTAGTGAACAATGGTCAGTTGGAGATTATCAATGCGGCGTGGTCAATGAATGACGAAGCCGCTGTGAATTATCAATCCACGATTGATCAATTCACGCACGGACTTAGGTACTACTAGTTTTGTTTGTGAAACACTGAAGTTCATTCATGATTCTAGAACTATCAATGAGACTGTTGGGGCCTGTGGTGCCCCTAAAATCGGCTGGCAGATCGATCCGTTCGGTCACAGTCGCGAACAAGCCTCAATTTTTGCCCAGTTGGGCTTCGACGGTGTTTTTCTGGGCAGGCTCGACTACAACGACCACAATCAACGAAATATTGACAAGACCATGGAAGTGATTTGGCAAGGTAGTGCTAATCTCGAGAATACAAACATCTTCACTTATATCATGCCCGATATGTATGGGCCTCCACCCGGTTACTGCTTTGATATTGAATGCGGAGATGAAGTTATCGTCGACGATGATACCAGTCCAGACTACAATGTTCCAAGAAGGGTTGACGAATTTGTGAGCAAAATGCTATCTCTGGCGAGTAATTATCGAACGAATCATGTCTTAATTCCAATGGGTGGAGACTTCCAGTTTCAATCAGCAGAGAAGAACTATATCAACAT